TAGCTGACTTACTAAGAGCCTATCTAACTGATATGCTATGAGTGTTGGCATTTCCTTTATATGTACTGATTGACTTTAGACTAGCTGATCTCTCTGACTGAATCAATTCAACTTACAATTTTATTTTCGTCAGCCTCGCGATGCGACGCGCCAGAGAACGTAACCGCAATAGTCGATGCGCACGTTTCCGTATAGTACGTAGACAGTCCATGGTCACTAATGGCACCTATAGATACTGTATAAATACTAGTCGTATAACCGTCACAGTTACAGTCGTCGTCTGTTAGTCCACCATTACCAGTCGCCCAGACGAAGATATTACCTTTGCCACCACGTCCCTTGATGTAATAGTAGTTTTAGAGTAATGTCCATGCATAACTCACATTAATCTCAATTAATCTTTTAGAGAAATTTAGATTTTATTGTTTAATTCCTTAAAGATTGTGTTAAAGATTTTGTCACATAAAAGTATGAACATATATAGTTTTCTAGCGACTTTTAGGAGAAAAAAAAGTCGGGCAGCTCATCACACTAAAGACCATTCTCACTTCCTTAATCAGCTTGACGGTGTGAAATTAACAACTTTTAAAATGACTTTCGATTTTATATTTATAAAAATCATGCAACTTCAATATGGGAAATAAAACGCTAATGATATAATATTCACACACTCAATTTTGTCTTGAATAATTAATTTCAATTTCATTAAAGCTAAAGCTATCATGCACTTGCCCATCATTCATGTTATTATTACGGGAAAATGCCTTTTACGAAAATATTAGGTTAGTATATTAAACACGCCACGTTTTGTTTTCGATTCTCATGTCGTATAGCATGTAACGTCACGGTATGTCACGGTGCGTCACGCAATATTGAATCATTTCATATGATACCGAATATCAAGATTACCTATCTACGTTACCTTCTTCGCACCGATCTCAAGAGATCTACTCGCAAAAAATCCTGGTTTTCCGAATCTTTTCCCGTCGTCTTTTGGGCCCCAGCAGCACGTGTAAATATCGATGTAGTCAGCTCGGTAACCAAGCGATAATCCCTCTATGACGTCAGTAGCTGCCCCATCTAACATGCGAATTCCTGGGAAAAGTCTTAGTGTTAATCAGATAAATAGTCTCCTTTATGTTTATCTGCGCCATCTTGAAAGGTAGCCATGCCTTTACATCGAAGCGAGACGACCCTTGAGCGTGCAATGATAGATACCTGTGATAATTGTCTGTAGGTGTGAAAGAAGGTTTCAATCTTTGCACGCTCAACGGTCGTCCCTCTTCGATGCAAAGGCACGGCTACCTTTCAAGATGGCGTTGGGGATCGTGAAGAAGACTATATGGACCTAATGAATCATTGAGCTATGACTACCAAAATGATCTTCAATAAATTATTACTATTATCGAAGATTCGTCGAAAAATCGACTTTTCCTGAAAGTATACTTACCCCCGATGCTTGCATTGAATGATACACCAACACCACAAATACCATTATTGGCCTCTGCAGCTATTT